GAAGATTATCATTTAAAGGAATTTTTTCAGGATGAACATTAAAAAGGATTTGGTGCATTCATTTTTTATCTTTCTCTTAATGTATTTCCCTTAATTAATCTCAACATCCTCATTTCGCCTTAGTCATCTAAACAAATAGGTTTTTTAGGCAGGGTTTACTTAAAATAGGCAAAGTGAAAATAAATGCACCAAATTAGAACTTGTTGCTTTCATAATTCAGCTGAGATCATTGAATAAGATATCTAGTCAGCATTATCACACACATATAGAGGGAGAGGGGAAGATTCCCATTGAAAGAGCTCTTCTAAGGTGCAACATATTCACGTAGAAGCTCCCAACCTTGGATGACATGTCCTAGTTTTCTAAAATGAAGACATTTGTGGGTGAGAGATCATAACTATTGAAGATCCCTAACTATGTCAAATACTTACTATATGAGAACATATTGACTAAAGAATAAACACAACTACTTGAATAGAGCTTCGTTCCACAATTCAAAAGGAACATTAAAAAATAATCATACAAATATTAATTTTTAATTTATTCTTGTAAATGAAATGATATAAAAATTTGTTAAATTATTTTTACTTATGTGATTTTTAGGCAATTAGGGGCTAAATTCTATTTTGGAATTTGTTTTTTTAAAGAAAACCTTATAAATGTTAGGTCATTAAATAATTTTTTCATAGTATTACTAGAAATGTATTGAAAATGATTATATGATAATTGATAATTTTAACGTAAGTTGGTAAGCCTCATGGTGACCGGATATTTTGGTGGAAGAAATTATAATCTTTTGGCAGATGATGATGTTAGTAAAGTTTAAATTTTTTTTAATCCTCTATAGTGCTGATCATAAAATTCTGCTAATTCCAGTTATAATTTTCTGTAAAAAATTAACTGTTTTGCTTAATTGTTCTCCTTTAAGAGTCACTGTTTTGTTGAGGTGCAAAACTGAAAAATAGTTGGACACACTTGAAAGTATGATAAATCATTATGTTAGAATACTATGTTTCTTACGTACCATGAGTCATGGCTCATTTCTTGACATGAGAGCATCATTATATGCTAGTCTTCCTAACATTTAGTGCAACTTGCATGATGTTACATCATTATTGTCTTTGACCAACAAGATATATACATGATGTTTTAGTCCTGAAGCAATTAGTCAAGTACGAAAAGTTTTACTTTTAATATGAAACAAGGATAAATTGCATTTATCTTTTCCAAGGTTTTTCAAAGCGGCATTTATCCTTCACATACTTTTTTCTCATTACTCCTACCATGCCTTGAGACTAATTGTTGTGAAATGGAGACTTAAATGACAATATTACCCTTTTCCTAAGTTGCTTAGAAATGGGTAGAGGGGACATAAAATTTGTAAACTTTAGGGTGTGGGGGTTGGGGGTATGATTGCATATATATATAGTCAAACAAGTACGACTATATATATATGCAATCGTACCCCCAACCCCCACACCCTAAAGAGATTAATATTGATTTTTAATTTATGTGTTATGGAATGAAAATCATGATTTCATTTTGAGTTCTTTTTTGTGTTATGGTTAGATTCTATATGTTATCTTTTAAAAACCAAAAATTGACTTCAATTGTTTGAACAAGTCTTTGCAAATTTCGATAGCAGAAAATTCATGCAATGAGTTCATTTTAGTATATAGAAAAATACATTTTACTTAACTAGAAATAAGAGAAAAATTCAGAGAACATATAATCGATGTTAGCATGTGCTATGACTAGAATTAAAGATAATTAGATAAAAAATAGGTTAATAAATCCATGTCATGGTTACTAAAAGGATAAGTGAAACGATTATGGGGAACTTTCACCTTAAATATGTTTTGGGAGGGATAACTACACAAATAGAAACCTT